TCTGCACACCCTACACTGGGGATCCAACCCTCAACCCAGGCATATGTCCCAACTGGGAATAACCGTGACCTCCTGGTTCATAGGTCAACGCTCAACCACTGAGCACACTTTTAGTTGACGCTTAACCACTGAACCACAATAGCTGGGAGAGGCTTGACTGTGACAGCTGCGGAGAGCCAGCCTTTCTCCACTTCTGAAATGAACACGGAAGACTTGCTACGGTGACCATCCTGCGACTAAGGGGCACCTGATTCAGGACACGTGACCAGCAGAGCAGAGGGACGGAAGGAAACTTCTGAAATGAACACGGAAGACTTGCTACGGTGACCATCCTGCGACTAAGGGGCACCTGATTCAGGACACGGGGTTCCTGCTCACATGGTTGATTCACTGCACCCGAGAACCCTGAGTCCTGCCTGCCCTCTGCCTCCGCTGCTGGTAAAGGTCCCCATTGTTGAAATCACTGGGAGCGAGCTTCCTGCTACTCCCGGTGGAAAACACCCTGACAGAGACAGTAAAATCAGGGCACTCCTGTCCCCTTATTTGCCTTTTCCAACTGGTCTGGGGGCACAAGACAAGCTAACTGTGGTTCGGTTCTAAGCACGTTTACTTGCTGAGGGCACTTAACAAGTGTCAAATAAATGCTTGTACTTCCTGAGCACTCTTCTTGCAACAAGAACAGTGGGGCTGGAAACTCGGGTCTGTCTGGTGACATGGTACTTTAGCTGCACTCTCAGTTAGCCCATTAATTCCTGGACCCCAAGAATCTGCCTTGAAGAAGGTAAGTTAGGGCTGCGCTTCCATGAATTTCGACAAAGACCACGGGGCGCCTCAGCCCCGCTCTTCTGTGCTGCGCGGTAGAGAGAGAAATCTGAGGGCCTTCCTCATGCTCCGCTGACTCCCCAGGAAGCTGTTTTTCCTGAGGTCCGGGGGCAGATGGAATAGGGCCGAATGAGTCTTTAAAAAACACCTCCTTTTTCTCCTGGCACTTGCGCAAGCGCACACACAGAAATTTTCTAACTATGTGTACTGAGACAGGTTAACTAGACTTATTACGGTGACCACTATGCAATATACAAGTAACAATCATTAGGTTGTCCACCTGAAACTAGTACGTTATGTGCCAATTATACCTTAAAAAATCAAGATAAACTCTGAAAACAAGACACCCTCCTCCCTTCCTTGACTGTCCTGGGCTTCCCGGTTCCCCCTGCTGGTCTGTAGTGCAATTGTTTTCACATATAAATGAGACTCGGGCGTGCCTCACATGGATGTAGTTGTAGATGAAATTATGCACCTGAGATTCGCTTTCAAAGATCCCAGAAAAATGAGGGTGTGGATGCAGCGAGATTGGCAGAGCGTTACGATGGAAGCTGGTGAGGGCTCCAGAGGGGTTCCTTCTACTATTACCACTAGTTTCACTCATGCTCTAGTTTTTGCTTAATTTTTGAAAATGTCATTTTTTGCACGTTCCCCCTCGGTCTGGACCTTGAGTTGCTCCCCCTGGAACGGCCTCTGGCCTGGTTTCCTGTCCTGCAGGGCCCGGGGGTGCTCGTTTCTAGGAAACTGTCAGGACTGGTCCTGGGGAGTCCCTTGCTGATGCTAAAACTGGGCGTTTTTCCTCCCCACCTGGCAGTGGGCAACTTGTGCTCCCTGGGCACTTAGCGCCATGACAGGGATCCAGGACGGACGTCCAGTTCCCGCAGAAGGGAAAGGGCAGGTGGCAGCTCAGAGCGGTGAGAACCAGTGGGAGCGCCAACCCTCCATCGGGTCGACATCATTTCAGAGCTGGAAGGGGCTGCCTAGGTCATTGTGTTGTTCTAGAGCAGCGGTTCTCAACCTGTGGGTCGCGGCCCCTTTGGCGGTCGAACGACCCTTTCACAGGGGTCGCCTAAGACCATCCTGCATATCAGATATTTACATGACGATTCATAACAGTAGCAACATTACCGTTATGAAGTAGCAACAAAAATAATTTTATGGTTGGGTGACAACGTGAGGAACTGTATTTAAAGGGCCACAAGGTTGAGAACCACTGATCTAGAGAAAGGGACAGTGCCAAGGGACTCCCTCTGCCAGCAGCTGGCCGACATGCCTGGCGCTGAGACCCACCCCCAGGCAGAGAAGCGCCTTCAGCTCGCAGGCACCATTCCTGCATGCTGGCCTCATGGGGCTAGCATGGGCATCTGGGCGCCTTTTCCTCCCTCCCTTCCTTCCTTCCTTCCTTCCTTCTCTTTCTTCATTCATCCACTCATTCTGTGTGTGAACTACGGTTTATACCACCTCCTCCCTCTGGGCTTTGGCTGCCCAGTTCCAAGGCATTGCTAACACTGGGCAAGTTCAACTGGGTCCGTCTGGGTGGACTGAACCCATCAGCCATCGCCATCAGACTATTATACTGTTGAACTGGGAGCTGCAAGGCACGTTTTAGAGCAAGAGGCCTTCAGGAGGATGGCAAAGGAACGGATGTCCCGTGGCACCCAGCCAAAGTGTTAAAGGAGCCCATTTCACAATACGGTGACCTGTAGCTGCCAGAGAAGGGACTCGGAGGCTGGGGTGGAAGAGAGCAGCCCCGGCCTGGGGGGGTGCTTTCTCCTACCCAGTGGTGAGGTCCTCAAATGGGAAAAACAAGCCGCCTCTGATGCCAGATGAGCCTACATATCCCTTTGGTTCAGTCCCTGCACCCTGATCACCAGAGAGCCCACTCCTCCTCCCCCTTTTTTTTTCATTTCCATAACGTGGCTTTATTATTTTGTTAGAAGCATCATTTACCCCAATAGTTAACAGTGCAAATGCACAAAATGCAGCTTTAGCTGAGCACACTCCTTTATGTTACCTACACCCCTTCTCTTCATCTCCTGGGCGAAGGAGACTGGCCTAGGCTTTTGACATTGACCCTTGATTGCCGGGGGATGCCAAGTTCTGGAGGTTGGAAATCTGAGATGAGGGCGCCGGTGTGGTCGGGTGAGGGCCCTCGGAGGGGTGGGGGGGTTGCAGACCGCTGGTTATATCCTCCCATGGTGGAAGGGCCCTGCTCCTCTTCTCTAGGTTTGCTGTTCCCGGTTGTCCACTCAACTGGTAAACAACAGAAAAAAATATCTCCATGTGCGTGGTAAGTTCCACTGAGTGAAGCTGATGAAGCGGCCTGGAAAGGACTTACCGCGTTTGTTTGCAGCGTGTACGTGATGCCGCTCGAGGGGAAAGGAGCACGACGCAACATCACCAGTATCGAACAAACAAAACACCGCTTCCCACACTGCCCAGACTCTCGCTTCACAAAAGCAAATGATGAGAAAGGCCTGGTGCAGGATCATCAATGGCACATTTTCTTCTTCCTCCTTGGAGGTCACGGCAGTTGATATTTATTCCCCTGAGAAGCTCATTGTTCTAATGTCCATTATCCAAAGAGGAAGTTCTGTCCTTGAAGACACCCAGAACTGTGCTATTATGCTGTGGCATTAGCAGCATCCTTGGTCCTGGGGGAAAAGTCAAGCAGCTCGTTCAATGTACAAAGTTGTTGATCCATGAATAGTACAACAAAGGGCCATTTCACCACGGCCAGCTCTCCTGGGAGGGTCCCCCAGGCCTTCCCAGTGGGGCCTGAGGTCAATATACTCATAGCTGCCCGGCCGGCGTGGCTCAGTGGTTGAGCGTCAACCTATGAACCAGGAGGTCATGGTTGGATTCCTGGTCAGGGCACATGCCCGGGTTGCGGGCTCAATTCCCAGTATGGGGTGTGCAGGGGGCGGCCAATCAATGATTCTCTCTTATCATTGTTTCTCTCTGTCCTTTCCTTTCTGAAATCAATTTAAAAATATATAAATAAATACACGCACACACACACACACCTGAGTAGGGTACACACACTTCTAGGTAGCGAGGCAAGAGTATGAGAGAAATTTCTAGTATTGGAACTTTTCTGCAGCTCCCACAATATTTCAGGTGGACTAATTAGTTTTCCAGGAGAAGACATCAAAGTTAAATTTTGACAGCTTCAGCCGCTTTTAGATTGCTATTTTATGCACTTCTAGGTAGTGAGGCAACAGAGTATGAGAGAAATTTCTAGCATTGGAATTTTTCTGCAGCTCCCACAATATTTTGGGTGAACTAACTAGTTTTCCAGGAGAAGTCATCAAAGTTAAAATTTGACAGCTTCAGCCGCTTTTAGATTGCTATTTTTCAGTTCTGCTCCAACTCTTAGCTTCCACAAAGCTAAGAAGGGAGAAGAATGACCCCATTTCTATGACCTGAGATTCTCACTTTGCATTCATTCAGCAGATAGAGAAAACTACTGGGTGCCAGGCTTTGCCACCCTTCCCGTCTTCAAGAAGTTGACCTGTTGGCGTTAGTAATAATGTCAGGAACTGTAGGATGCACATTTATTTGCTGGCTTTATTTAACCTTTTCCTTTGTGAACTGTGGGTACAGATTTGACTATGCAGTTGCACGGTTATAAGTACCTTTTTCTTCTGCAGTTATAAATCCTTCATCTAGAGTGGTGTAAGTATGAAAAATAAATTGCAAAAGCTAGATTACTGGTATTCTATTTTCATTGGAAATGTAACTTTAGTCCTGTTTCTATCACAGAATGATTTCCACAAACCACAACACTATTCTATAAAAAACTATTTCTGGCCTTTTTGCTTTACCAATTGGTAAAAGTCCTCTAAATTTTTATCAGTATCAAATCATATAGCAAGCTTGTATTTTTAACATAGAGCCATGACTTTATTACTTGGGAGTTCTGCCCTGATTAAAGTCCACACAAAGGGCCCTAGCCGGTTTGGCTCAGTGGATAGAGCGTCGGCCTGCGGACTGAAGGGTTCCAGGTTCGATTCCGGCCAAGGGCATGTACCTTGGTTGAGGGCACATCCCCAGGAGGGGGTGTGCAGGAGGCAGCTGATTGATGTTTCTCTCTTATCGATGTTTCTAATTCTCTATGCTTCTCTCTTCCTCTCTGTAAAAAATCAATAAAATTATTTTTAAAAATAATTAAAAAAAATAAAGTCCACACAAAGGGACAAGAAGAGAAAAATGTACAGATTCACAAAAGGCAGATTCACTGTGGCTGCAAGGAAACAGCAGGCTCTTCAGACCCTCAGTGCAGGTGGGGCTGATGGCTTCCACACCCCTCACCAGCGCCCCAACCCTGAGCTGAAACTCTGGCCACACAGTGGGGCGTTTCTCATGTGTTTAAGGTCTCCGTTTGTCTTTTGCTTATTAAGCTACCCATAAAGCTTAGAGCACTGACACTTAACCACATTCTTGAATAAGACACCGCATTAGCGTGATGTCATCTCCGAAAGGGTGGCCAGGGTTAGGGCTGTGCTAGGAGAACGTGTAAGACACGTGACGCACAGGCTCTCTCCCACGGGGGGGTATCGGAGAAACCTGCCCGCTTCTGCAAACACGCCAGGGCTTGGACCCCACTCCCTGCCTCCAAAGGTGGAGCTCCAGGCAGGTGTATCTTGGCGAAGCCCAACCAGCCATTCTGTGGGCCCGAGGTTTCTGCCAGGCACATTTCCAGCCTGCCTGTGCACAGCTGGAGATGGCTGCTCCGTGCTGCCTTTTGCAAGATGGCTGTTTTGAAGAGTGACTTCTTCGGCCCAGAATTAGGCATCCATAAGTGTTCGTTCCTTCATAACCAACATGAGGCCTTTAAATGCACCTGGCTTTTCAGACTTTGCTTCTCTAGTATGAGAAAACCAGATGTCCTTTTTGCCTTCTGATTTATAGTTAATTTGATTAAACAGTCTTCTGGTTAGAGTGCTGCTAATCTCGTTTTAAAGATAAAAGGATTCGCACATTCAAAACAAAAAACATTCACCTTCGCAACTTCTGGTAAAAAGAAAAAAAATAAACCTGATTTTAATTAACAACTGATTTTTACCAAACTTTCAAGTTTCAATTTATGAAAGAGGATCACCATTCCTTCCCCCAGCTGCTCTCTCTGGCTCAAATCAATTAAACTGCTGACACCCAGACAGTTTCAGATTCCCCCAGGGGAGGCGCGCGGCTTCACGCTGTGGTAGTTCTGGAGTTAGTGGCGGCCGTGTTTCTCTGCAGAGGCGCCAGGATGACCCCGACGTTCCTCTCCTCGCTCTCGGCGCTGTACAAATTGTGCTTCTCGATGTATTCTTGGACGAGGTCTGGTACCAAGTAGCGAATGCTCTGGCTCCTTCGGAGGGCTCGCCGGATCTTCGTGGACGAGATGTCGTTGGTGATCCATTCGTTCACCAGGTGAATGTTGGCCTGGTGTCTCCACAGCACATCCGATTCGTAGATGAATCTCTGAGCATCGTTTCCAGCCCGGGTGACGCAGACGAGCCCGTAGTCCCCCACGATGTTGGCGATGTCCTCGCGCTTCCACAGGTTGGGGACACCGAAGGACTCCAGCAGGTCTGCCCCGCACAGCAGCTTGACCTCGGGCACGTCTGGGGCGGAGAAGAAAACACTGCGTCAGGGTTTGCTATGTAATAACGCCCTGCGTCAACATGAATGTGTGGACGTGTTTTTCTGGAAAGAAGGTCCTGCTTTTTCCGATTCAGATTCTCAAGAGACCGAGGACAGCTGAGAAGCTAAGGACTGCAGGGGCAGGAGCTCAGGACGCCTCGCACCGGCCTCCCTTCCCCAGCAAACCTACGAGGGCGTTTTCCAGGCACCCCGTGTACTGAATAGACAATGGAACTAGATCTGGCAGGCCTGGCCCAGTGGTTGAGCATCAACCTGTGAACCAGGAGGTCAAGGTTCGATTCCCGGTCAGGGCACATGTCCCAGTTGTGGGCTCGATCCCCAGTGAGGGGCGTGCAGGAGACAGCTGACCAATGATTCTCTCTCATCATTGATGTTTCTGTCTCTTTCCGTCTCCCTTCCTCTCTGAAATCAATAAAAATTTATTTAAAAAAAAGAAGATGGAAATAGAAAGGGGGCTTGCTCAGCTCTAGAACCTTATCCGCTCCAGTTGGCAAGTCCTGGGAAAACATGCAGACCTTTTCTTTGTGGCTCTAGGGTCTTCTTCTGATTCAATTCTGATCTTTGTTCAGCCCACTTCCTCTTCCGGCCAGGCCTCTCCAGCACAGGGGAGTCCTGCTGCTCACAGCCTCTCGCCTCCAGCTTCTCCTGGTGGTGTCTATAAAACAACAAAGCAACAGAACAGCCTCTTCCTCACAGAGCTCAACCAACCATTGTCCCTCGTAGATGCTCACTAACCCTCCTTGCCAGCCTGGTTGTAGGCAGCCATCTTGTGAGGGTGTGAGGGTTAATTTGCATATTATCTCTTTATTATATAGGATAACGTTAAGTAATAACTAGATGTCACTCACTCTGGCTTCTGAACCCTTACCTGGAACTGTCTCAAAGGTGTAAGACAGGTGTGTGACAAGCCCGTATGCTGTCACAGAAGCAGCGCACAGACAGGTCTATCCATGACCCAGCATCACGGCTTCCCGTCCTGAATACCTGCCTCTCAGAAGACTGATGGCAATGACATCATCTTACAACTCTGCCTTTCTCGCTTGGGCACGGCCAGGCCGGCAGGCTTCCCTGCATATTCGCTAACAGAGCTTTGCACAGTAACCATCATGCAAACATCTGAACACACAGTGCAAGGCACAGGCTCGGGAACACGCTGCCTGCTTCTGTGCTCCACGCTGTGCAACGACCTCGCACAGGACCCGCACACCTCTGCCCTTCCAGCCCTAGGGACCGCGCTGTACACCTGTAGCTCAGACACCGGCAGCACGAAAATGTGGCCCAACCCAAGAAAGGCGCCGACCCATTCCCGGGAGCCCACAGAGCTCACTTCCCCACAGATACCTTAGCACCTTCGCAGTCTCCACCCACTCCTTCTGCAGACTCTCCCAGGTGTCCACTTCCACCCAGCTGGAAGTCTGGGTGGCAAGTTGTGCCATGATCACTCGGTGATGGGCAGAGATGAGACCTTTTTTCTTGTAGGCGTCGCCAACGGGAGAAATGATGCCTTTGATAACCCTGTATTTTCCTGGGTAGAGAGTTAGGTTTGACATGAGGTATAACAAATTAGACTTTATGCACAGGAAATAGTTCCATCGATATGATTTTAATCAAATATTTCCTTTCTATTTTTTACACAGGGATTCAGGTTCATTCATTCATTATTGTGGTAAAACAGACAACACATAGAATTGCTTTGTAAAATGCCTTAATCAAGTTGTATTGTCCACCTACAGTATAAAAAGAGCCTCAATCTCCCCAACCTCTGATAGTTGACACTGTGAAGTTTAAAAATGTTTGTGCATGTGATGGGAAAACTGTGTCTCATTTTTAATTTTAGTTTCCTGTTTATCAGTGAGTATGAGCACCCATCCTCCTATCTATCAGCATAGAGCATGAGTTTGTGTAACAAAAGAAATCTTGTCAATGGAGGGAAGGAAGAAGTTTTCCTTGACCCTCTTCGGGTCGGTCCCTGGCTAGGTCTGAACATGAAACAGAAAGATAAATGAATAGGAGGAGAGCACACATTTGTTTAACGTAAGGTTTACAGGACACGGGAGCCTTCATAAGGAAATGAAGACCCCAGGAAACAGGGGGGCCTGAGTGTTCCACGCTAGATTTGAAGAGCAGACAGCAGCGGAGAAACAGGAAGGGGCAAAGAGCACCAGGTAAGTGTAGTGAGTGCAGGGAAACTAGCGAAGGCTCCTTCATTCAGACTCTTCCCAGCATCCCTTTGTCTTCAGAGCTAAGGACGCGCCTTTCCTCTGGGGATGGGGCGGTGCCTCTCACATGGGGTTCTGTGACCTGCTTCAGAGGAGAAGGGTGGGGAGGAAGTGACCTCCCTGACTCTGCAGGTTTCTCAAACTCCTTCAGCTCAAAATACCCAATACGCCGTGGGGCCGTATTTGGGGGTAGTGTTCTGAACCCCACTGTTGCGTTTGTTACTGTTCCTACCTGTTGCATTCATGTGGTCCTTGGCCAGCTCAAACAGCCGGAGGTGCATGTTGGTGACTGGGTTAAAGGAGCCACAGGCAAGGAGAACCACTTCTGTCTTCTGGGGACTTTCCATGCCAGGACCCTGACGGCGCTGATCTGAGTGGCACACTCTGGCACCTCCCGGGTTGTCTACAAAGGAAAAGGAACACCAGTTACAGGCCTTTTGTCCCCCTTCTGTGTTCTCATTCCCAGTAGATGGATTAGAACACTTGGCTTCGATGACTGCGCTCCATGAGTTGTAAACAGTGGCCCCATTTCTCCACCCTCCTTCTCATCGTGAACTTACAGCTCCTCCCACGAAGGATGGGGAGCTCCTTCCCACTCTGCGTCACTTGCTTTGGCCAAAAGGATGTGGCAGATGTGACAGTCTGCCAGGTGGGGCTTTGCACACTCTTACTTTCTCTCGGATTCCTGCCTCTGCCACCAGATGGGCCCCGGCCAGCCTGAGGGAGGATGACAAGCACGCAGAGAGCGCGGGTGCTCCTGCTGCCAGACAGCCTGCCATGAGTTAGGTGGCCGAGGCCATCGGGGACGGGCCAAACCGCAACCAGCGCAACACGAGAGCCAGCCCAGGTGGGATCGGCTGAGCCTGGCTGGATCAGCAAACCCACAGCTGACCCAGGCTCACGAGCAAAAACGAATGTCCACTGCTGCACGCTGCTGTGGTTTTGTGGCCACAGTTAACGGACACGGTGACATCATCGTCTTCAGGGTAACTCCCCAGCAACCTGCCCTTCAAACCAGTGTTCTGCCTCTAAGTCAACATGATCACGTCACTTTCTGCTGAATAACAGTTTACCCTTCACAAACCTCTTTTTCATTCAAATTTTCCCATTTGATCTTTCCATAAACCTACTGAAGTAATGCGAGACATGTGATCTAAAGCTTTTATTAAAAACTTTTATTAAAAACATCTCAGGGCCGAAACCGGTTTGGCTCAGTGGATAGAGCGTCGGCCTGTGGACTGAGAGGTCCCAGGTTCGATTCCGGTCAAGGGCATGTACCTTGGTTGCGGGCACATCCCCGGTGGGGAGTGTGCAGGAGGCAGCTGGTCGATGTTTCTCTCTCATCGATGTTTCTAACTCTCTATCTCTCTCCTTTCCTCTCTGTAAAAACTCAATAAAATATAAAAAAAATAAAAATAAAAATAAAAACATCTCAGGGTGACAGCTATCGGCCATATCCCGCTCACCAACCCCTTCATCCAACTCCCAAAAGCAATCCCAGTCAACCTTTTCAGCTATTTCTTTTGGCAGATCCTAGTCTTTGTTGAAAATCACCTTCTCCCAGAATTCTGAAGGCACTACTTCGAGAGTGCAGTGCTAACGGTGAAAAACCCAAAGTCAGTTTTGTTTTTTTAATTCTCCCCTGGAGGATATTTTTCCCATTGATTTTCAGAGTGGAAGGAAGGAGGGCAAGAGAGAAACATCGATGTGAGAGAGATACATCGATTGGTTGCCTCCTACACGCCCCGACAGGGGGCAGGAATCGAACCTGCAACCCAGGTATGTGCCCTTCTTTGGTGCACTGGCTGACACTCTAACCACTGAGCCCCACTGGCTGGGCCGGAGTCACTTTCCATTCTGGATCCTTTAAGTATGACGTTTATTTTCTCCCTTGAAGCCCATGAGATCTGCCCTTTGCCCAGTGCTCTGAAATCTCAGTGATGCCCTGTGGTGCAGCTCTATCCTCCCCTGTGCCGGACACTGAGCGGCCCTTTCCAGCTCAAAGGCATCACCTTCAGTTCTGAAAACTGAACTGAACTGTTTTGCGCGTGGTCTTCTGCCTCCCGTGGGGAATGCCTGTTATTTAGAGCTGAGGGGTTGGGTTCAGCTGGAGCCAGGTGTCAATTCCAGCCCCACCCATCTCAGGTTTCAGGTACCTTCCCCCAGGGAGACGGAGCTGGGAGCTGGAAGAATAGGATGGCTGAGGTCAGGAGGGACTGGTGCCCAGGGGAGCGGAGCGCCTGCTGCACAGGGACAGATGGAACAAAGAGCTCGAAGCCCCCCCTGGCCTTGGGGATGCGCTCAGGTTCCAGGGACTCCCAGGGGAAGGGCTCGGGAAGCTGATGTCTCAGCTTAAAGAAAGCTCTCTCCCTTGTCAGTCAGGACCTGCCTCAGAAGTCTCACTCAGTCCTCTTGATCCACCATGAACACCACCAGCCTGAGGTCAGACGCTCAAAGCCAAGGAGACTTAAGTTACAGTGAGCTCCTTCCACAGCCCAGGGCGGCTTAAAAACAAAAGGACCTGCCCCTCTTGGGAGAGGACCTCCCCTGCGGCCCGCAGGCACCTGTGCAGGGAAGGGGCGGGCAGGGACCGCTGGGAGAGGTGGTTTGGGAGCTCTGACAGGCCTGTCTGGGCTCGGCCTTGCCTTGCTCCAGGTGCTCGAGGACTGGTGTCGCCATGATCCACTTCCGTCTGGCCCACTCAGCCGACCAGGTGCACTGCTGGCGGCCCAGGTCTCACCAGCTCGGGCTGTAAGTGTCCCTCCCAGCCCAGGGCGACGGACGTCATTTCTTTCTGAGGGGGTCCTCACGTGTAACGAACACGCACTTTCCATTTTCAAGTTCGATTTCACGGACCTTCTTAGGTTTTAAAAACAATGATGTGTAAACAGTAATGAAACGCTTTCTAAACAGGAAGCCAGTGTGTAGAACATTCATTTTTCCAGAAAGAACAGGAATTGTGTGGCTTTTGTCACATCTCAGGGTGCTGCATTCGCCGACTCAAATAATGGGGCAGACTTGACAACCTCTGGAATTTACACCTCTAAGAAGCTGTTCTGTTTTAAAACATGCCTTTAAGCATGTAACTATTCTCGTTCTAACAACATGCCACTGCTTTCAATAACCTGGGGGTATAAGAGGACCTTCACTGCGGATAAATCTCTTGAGGGTAAATTTGATTTCTACAAATACCCTAAAGGCATTCAGTGCTAAACCCAATGAATAAAGTAAATAATAAAAATGACTAAAAGAGTTTATGGTGGCCGAAACCGGTTTGGCTCAGTGGATAGAGCGTCGGCCTGTGGACTGAAAGGTCCCAAGTTCGATTCCGGTCAAGGGCATGTACCTGGGTTTCGGGCATATCCCCAGTGGGGGATGTGCAGGAGGCGGCTGATCAATGTTTCTCGCTCATCGATGTTTCTGACTCTCTATCTCTCTCCCTCCCTCTCTGTAAAAAAATCAATAAATTTAAAAAAAGAGTTTATGGTGAAGAGCTGAAACTACTAGTTAATGACGAAGATTTTCTCATGCACAGAAACTATATACGCATAACTGCAAAAGTTTCCAGAATGTCTGAGCAGTAACAGCAGGCTTCACTGGGTGGTTAGGTTGTGGTCGGCAGGGTAGCCCTCCGTTTATGAGTGACGCTCAGCGTGAACCATCCGGCTGGAGGCAGAGGCAGCACAACAGAGGGGCCCAGTTAGGACTCTCAGACCTGGCTCACATTCTAGTCTACCTCTTACTACGAGGTGTTTGTCCCAAGACACTTAATCAGAGTATCGGTTTCCTCATCTATAAAATGGGGACCCACAGTCTCTACCTCATAGGATTTGTGCATATTAAGTGAGAAAATGCATGTAAAATGACACATTTGTCTACTGAGTATTAATAACTCATGCTATTACTTGTGGATTGCCTTAGCGCATTAATTTAGTCATGAAAAAGGAACCAAAGTTCTAAAGACTCCTTAGAAATCAGTATCAACGGTGCCTGTGACATAGTAGGAGCTGAATAACGGTAGCTACTTTTAATATCTTTCCTTTCTCCCTTCCTTCCTTCCTTCCTTCCTTCCTTCCTTCCTTCCTCCCTCCCTCCCTTTGATAATCCTCCCCCACAGACATTTTCCCCATTGATTTTTAGAGAGAGTGGGAGAGAAGGAGGGGGAGAGAGACAGAGAGAGACATCTATGTGAGACACATTGATTGGTTGCCTCCTGCACGTGGGGTCGAATCTGCAACCCAGGAACATGCCCTTGACCAAGAATTGAACCCGAGACCCTTCTGTCTGTGTGCCGATGCTCTAATCACTGAGCAACACAGGGCAAGGCACTTTTAATATTCTCATTGGAGTATTCTTAGACATAATTTTGCTCTAATGGGATGGATCTCAATTCATCTTTGCCATGTGTGAAACTCTGCCTCTGTGGTTTAATGTTACGTTACCCTGAAAGAGACCCTGGCTTTGGTTTCTGGAAGCCAGCTCATCACTAAGCGGTTGTGTAAATGTAACTCACTGTGCCCCGTGCAGCCGAGCGGCCGTGTTCCTGTTTGGGATCGCCACTCTGGCTCTCCAGTTGTCCGCTCTGCTAAGGAAAGTTCTTTCATCGGCCAAGCCCTCCCCTGGCAGCCGGGCGGTCTGGGTCTCAGCTGTAGGGGCGGTTCGGGTGCTCTCTGTGATTCCTGTCACGTGTTTCATTGCAGTCTGCCCCATTGTGTTTGCCCCTGTCATCAACGGGAGTCACCCACTTCACTTCTTGGAGAAGTCAACAATCTCAATACAGTGAGAATCACTGGCTTTGGGCAGACTGAGTTTAATTTCATAAGAAGAGACAATGAGGGCACCAACGTCTCTATTTATTCCCCACAGAGCAGTCCCAATAGCCCTGCATTACTTGACGTCTGTAGGGCTGAGGGCGACACAGGCACACTCCACCAGATTATGCCTTGATTATGTTAGTTTAGATTCTACGTTGGAAATTAGTCTTAGCAGAAAAAAAATTAGTTAACTTTCTTATTGGACTGATGAAACAAATGCAATTTGGCACATTCAAAATAAGAGAATTGCAGTTCTGAGAACATTGATATTCGACAAGTACCTGAAAACGGAGAACCCACTTAAGGGACGGAGAAGGGACAGGAACTGTGACACTGTAACTGGCCGACTTCAAACCTGCAGGCTCCTATTATAGGATGTTTGTGTGCAGTAAAGTATATTCCCTTACTCTGAAAAGCTGGAATTTCCACAGAATATTTTTCTTGTTTTTCCTTTCTTTAAAAAAAATATATTTTTATTGATTTCAGAATGGAAAGGGAGAGGGAGAGACAGAAACATCAATGATGAGAGATACATGACCGGTTGCCTACTGCACGCCCCACACTAGGGACCCAGCCCGCAACCAGGGCATTGAACCGTGACCTCCTGGTTCATAGGTCAATGCCCAACCTCTGAACCACACCGGATGGGCTCCACAAAAATATTTCACCAAAATAGCAAATTAACATGAATTAGAAAAATGGCAAACTTTATTTGTCCACCAACTATGACTATTAATAACTCAATGCTATTGGTGGGCTGTCTTCCAGCATTAATTTGAGCCATGCTAAAGGAACTAAGGTCCTTAAGAGAAGTGAGCTGCCCGGAGCCCAATGAACCTAGAGCCAGGTTAGGGTTAGAATCCCCGGGTCGCAGCACCTCCTGGTGTCATGCTTAAAGCTGATCTCTTCTGATCAATAGTAAGTAATGTGTAACCCAGTGGAATGAATTTTAGGCCCAGCTCTTCTCGGTACTGCAGTCAACTTCTCCTCAACAACTTGGCTGGTCGGTAATACCATCTTTACTTTCCTTGCCACTGGTGAGTGTGCAGTCACTCTGACCAGCATGTCAGTGTCTGCTAAATGGGAAGATGGGACTTCCTGTTTTCAGGAGCTCAAGGATTGAAACGTAAGAAAAAATTCACATTTAGCCCTGACCGGTTTGGCTCAGTGGGTAGAGCGTTGGCCTGCGGACTGAAAGGTCCCAGGTTCGATTCCGGTCAAGGGCATGTACCTTGGTTGCGGGCACATCCCCAGTAGGGGGTGTGCAGGAAGCAGCTGATCAATGTGTCTCTCTCATCGATGTTTCTAACTCTCTATCCCTTTCTCTTCCTCTCTGTAAAAAATAAAATACATTTTTCTAAAAAAAGAAGAAAAAATTCACATTTAAAATTCAGATGAAGGGCATTTTTAAAACTTCTTTAGTCATGCTTTTAGTTATTCTGTGATTTCTCGTTGGTGTTATAAAATTCTCTAGTTATCCAAAAAGAGCAGATTTCTTCACTCATCCCGTAAACAGCTACTGAGTAGGATCTGATATGGGTAGAAAGACAGGGGCCTTGACAACTTGAGCCCAAAAAGTGACACAGAAGAGATTTTTAAAAACTGATTTTAGAGAGGGCGTCAAGAAGAGAGAGAAGCAGTGACGTGAGGGAGAAACATTGATCAGCTGCCTCTCGTACATGCCCCGACCAGGGAATGAACGGGCGGCTAGGTCCTGCATGCCCCACACTGGGGATCCAGCCTGCCACCAAGCTCTCGACCTTCCGGGGCACGGGCCAAGCTCCAACCAACTGAGACACACTGGCCAGGGCCGAAATATTTTTCTTTAAACACATACTTTTGGATAAATTTTAGAAAAATAATTATACTATGCTTCACATTGTCATTTATTCAGAACTTGAAAATGGAAATATTTTTATTTGTATTGAGTACCATAGGCACAGTTTGGCTGGAAGGTTTAACTCAGATAATGAGAGGTTTAACTGAGATAATGAGGAAGTTATTCCCCAAATAGTCCCAGTTATTAGCACCCTCGTCGCCAGTAAGAGCAGGACCTGGCGAGGGAAACCCTTAGCTTTTGAGCATTTCTGCTCCACAGGAGGGAAGCGAGGAAGCACGTTCGATTTAGGTTTGCACTCGGGCGTGTATTTCTGAGATGCTGAAGCCGAGGACAGTGACGCTGTCCTGCCGTCCTTTTAGGTTTCACTGTGCCGCTCACTCACCTGGGCCCAGCCCCATGGGCTCTAAAGAGGATGTTTTCTGCATTCGGTGTGGGATCCTTCGGGGAAGGCGTCTGCACCAGGGTGTCACCAGTTCTGGCCACTCACTGCGTACGTTTGAAATAGTGAATTTCTAAAGGCTCATCTTAATCTGGAAGCTTGGCTGTATACAATACACCGTTAGTCTTTGATACTTATTCTCTACTTACACTAAAAAACACAGGTATGTGGAGATAGAATCCCGAATTAGACACGTCACAGTTACACATATCACCAAGGAAAGTTTAAAAAATCCCACAAGAGTTTTTTGTATGTGTGTGTTTTGCAAGTTCCATTTTGCTAGAATTTTTTTTTAAGTTAAGGTATTAACTAACAGTGGGGCCACTGGACTAGGTTTGGCACCTTAAGCAGCAAGCCTTCCATCTCTTGCTGAGTGAGTGCCTCTGTTTAAATCCTTGTGGCAAAAGCACATTAAATATATGTTCCAATGAACAGACAAGTATTCCTCACAGTGCTTTTTCCCTCCCAAATATAGGAAAAACGACTCCTGAACTTGACTCCTTGTCTGTGCTGCTTTCAATGAGCAGCTTCGTTTCTACAGGTGAGCAACAAACGTCCTCAAAACCCACCTTTGTCAAAGGCTTATCAGCCCCTCAGGGGAAGTAACTGCTCAGCTAGGACTGTCACACTGCAAAGGGAAGTCCGAGAAGCTAAGGCGTCTGAAAAGCAAGAGAAAAAGCAGAGAGGGTTAGAGGTGAGATAAAAAGCCACCCTTCTCCCGTTATTGCCACTCCACTGAATTCGATCCCATCCTTCATCCGCGGTGCTTTTCTCAGGCCTGGGGCTGCTCTGGCCGGCCAGGGTGGCGGTGCAAGACCAGATGCTAAACCAGCAGTCTGAAGCCCGGCTGGTCCCCTGCCTCAGATACATGTCACCAGTGAGCCTGTCCCCGCAGCACTGCACCTACCACGGCCAGCAAGCACATCACCACCTCCTCCCCTGCTCCTCCCGAGATGAAACTGTCAGCCGAACATCAGGGCTACGACAGGAAGCACATCAAAGCCACTCTTGAAAGAATGCTGTCTTTCAGCATTAATGAGCACTGATAATGGATAAAAAGGGAGAGTCAACCCATACCACAGGGCTGACAGCACCACCAAACTCATCCCAAAGAAGGATCTCCTCCGAAATACTTTCAAGATCACTGCTTTGACTTTCTGAACCTCCTTTTTTGTTTCAGGGAAGTGAGAGCAACAGTTGCATGGCTGCTAGAGAAATAAGTACTGAAAAGGAAGAAGAAAACTATAAATCTTAGTTTTAATGAACAAAGGTTTAGTTATGAACAAAGGTTTAGTTGCAGGCGACCTCACTTCAGAATGCACGTTTGAACAAAGTCAATTTATTTCTTCTTTAAAAATGCAGCGGGAAATCTGAGTAAAAAGAACTAAAAATAATCACAATCTCCTCCATATGGGTTACGACAATCTTTTGCATCAGGGCAGTCGATTACTGTCTAGAGAACAGCCAAGTGATGCACATGGTATTTCGTCTTCGTACTTTTTCTGTGTAGTCACAGATGCTAAGGCAGTTTAAGTAGGACCTGGCTACCCACAGGTCTTCTGAATGTCTTTAGGAAGTGGAGACGCCTCTATTTCCTGAGGAAAAGACCAGTGTCCATTGGCAGGAGGGGGAGATTCGATGTAAATATCTCCCAAACACATCGGCGACAGGCACAGACCTTCACAGTAGAAATAACTGTTTCCATCTGCTTCTCTGTTCAGGTGGAACTTGCTGGAGGGGAAGTTACTGAAACACATTCACTATCCAGAACACTGGAATTTTCTAGCACCTTCCGTATCCCAGACATATTGCGAAAACTTAGTGATTAGAAACCTGAGTAATTCATACATCAACAATGAAATCGCCATGGCCAGTCTGGCTCAGTGGGCAGAGCATCGGCCCGCGGACTGAAGGGTCCTGGGTTCTATTATGGTCAAGGGTGGTTCATGGTACTTCTTGTTAGTCACTCAAGTTTCATCTGCCCCGCATTTTCCCTACCTCATTGGAGCAACTTGCACACTGTAGGCTCCCATCTCAAGTCCAAGTTGAAGTGTTCTAAACTCCTGCAGCCACCAAGCAGTATTTGCAGGCGTTACCTCACTTCATTGTGCTTCATTTCATTTCACTTCACAGGTGTTGCTTTTGCTTTATTTTACAAATTGAAGGCAAACCCTCCATGAGGAGAAAGGTGATGACTCGCTTTATTGTGGCGTTCACTTTATGGCGGCGGTCCGGAACTGAATACATTCCGCAATCTCTCTGAAATGTGTCTGTATCTCGTTTCCCAGTTATGACTCTCAGTTCTGAAGTTGTTTTCTCCAACGCTCTCTCCCATGACTTCTTACCTGAGATATAGTTTTACAATTTCTTCTCCCCCACTCCCAGGGCTTGGGTTCTATTTTTGTATGAGGACTGGGACCCAAACCAATTTCTCTTACTTATGCACAAGGAATACTTTTTCATTCTCCATTCACTATAAACAAGAACCCAAAGGTACAGAACCACTAGATCAGGTTAAGTCACTAAGTAAGAAGAGCAGGCAAAGAGAATGCTTGTAGGGTGAGCACTTTCCTCCACGGCTTCAAGACTGCTCACACCAAAACCAACACAAATGCCTGAGTAAAATACGGTATTACCAACAGGAAAATTAGGGGAAGTCCACAAGAGCAAATGTTGATTCAGCACGTTCTTCAAGTGGTGAAATAAAATGTATCTTCCAGCTCTGTTTTGTTTCGCACTGACCTTATTTGTACCGAAGGTTCCATGTTGCTTAAAATGTTGACACTTCCATACATATCCACATACCAGAAATGAGAGATAGTTACGTTAACATAACCATCACATACTTTTACAAAGGACATTCTGTGAGTCTGAAGTGTTTTTGCAAGGTAAGCTACTGAACCATTCCAACTTGTGTGTCAAAGTCTTTATTTTAACCCACATTTCCCCCCATTACAGTGGACAGAGTGGTTAGGGATTTAAGTAACTTACGAAGTGATCCCCCGAATAAGTCCAGTAGCCACCTGGCACCACAGATAGTTATTGCAATATTATTGACTATATTCCCTGTGCTGTACTCTGCATCCCCATCAACAGTCTTTTCTAACTTGGGCTAGAAGAGTGGTTTCACACCCAAATTATAACTCTGAAATACACCTTATGGTAAGAAGTAAGGAATTCCACCATCAGGCAGAACTGGCAGAAATAACTCATTTTGGTAGAGTTCTCCGGTAATATCAGTTGGAAGTTTACCCTGGGCGCCTGACAAAAGAAGTAGCTTTAAAGGTGACACCTCTGACGTATTTGCCAGAAACCCTACGGACGCTTCCAGGAGATGGGCTGGGAAACAGCAGAAAATGGTTCCCACCTAATTTCTCGGTAATTTTTGAAGTGCTGCCCCACAGCTCACTAGTCTCCTTCTCGAGGGGCGTGAGTGTCAAACCGCACCCAGGAAGCGGGGCCTAGTATTTTCTTGATTTGGAAAAGATTTGGAAGGAAAGAGAAGTCGTTCAGAATGGACTTCCTGCTCTGCCTCCCACCACCTCCGCCGAGCTCCAGAAGCCGCTTCTAGAGGAACTTATTTATTTATTTATTTTTTCAGGGTGAATGCACCAGTGTCGAAGGTCAGAGGCAAATTTACCGAGGTTTTTGGTCCCACGGAGAGAGAAAAGGATGAAGAGGCAAGCTCCTCGCCCCAAACTTGAATATGACCTTGCCTCGGCAACCGCTGTATTTGACCCTCAAAGATGCCACCGCCTTGGCCTCCCCTATGCTCGCGACAAAACGGGGTGCTGGGGGGACTCCCCTAGATACGAGTTTATCAGGGGCTCAGGGTAGGGGCTTACCGCGTCCTCAGAGCAAAGCGGCCCGAGTCCTTCGCCGGACGACCCGCAGCCCGGACGCCAGCGAGGGGAACACCCGCAGCCGCGCCCTCATTGGCTCCAGGCGGCCGGAAGTGCGTGCGTCCGGCGGAAGTGCTCCCCCAGCGAGCGTCCGCCAGCCCAGGACTAGCAGGTAGGCGGGGCCCCTGGCTCTCAACTCTGAGGACCAGGGGCCTGAGACGGAGAGGGAGCCCCGAAATCCTGAAGAGGTCGTTCGGGTTCTGGTCGGGGAGGGCCGAAAAGTTTCGGGGTGTTGGGTTCACGGCGACCTCTGGTGGCAACCGGGGCCTAGTCGAGCCCGGCCGCCGCAGGACCCGCGTGCGGGAGCTTCACGTTCCCCCGTGGAGACAGATTTGGGGCCGTGGCCGGGGCTGCTCCCTGACCTCATCCGGAAGGTTGAGGTCCAAACGCAGCTCTCCTCCAGCCGGAAACGGGAAAGGGGTGCTCTCCGCCCTTACTTCTCTGTGCCCTTCTGGGCTTGACAGCTTCCCTCTAGGCGAGTCCGCGGGGGCGGGGGTGGGGGGGTGTTCCTCAGTAACGCCCGCACTAGGAAACTTCTCAGAAAGGCTGTCCTCCCCGCCCCTCCCCGCTCCCCCGCAACGAGGTCACAGTTCTGTCTTCCTAGAAAGAGGGGGTGTGTTTCAGTTGCAGGCGGCTCCAGTGGGAGCTATCTGGACCGCCTTAGGCCAAGATTATACCTAGTGAATAAAAACTACTTGGAAATGGTTTTTCTTTCCCCATCCAGCTCCGCCCCACGGTGGTTTGTTTGCACGTCAAGCCTCTTGTAGTTCTGATGAGCAGTGTCACTGGGACTTCAAGAGCTGGAGGTGTATGCAATTTGAGACCTGTCAGCAGGTGCAGAGCCCAGAGTGATAAGAGACAGGTGAGCCCGGTGGGCGTGGCTCAGTGGCTGAGCGAGAACCTAGGAACCAGGAGGTCACAGTTCATTCCAGGTCAGGGCACATGCCTGGGTGGCAGCTAGATCCCTAGTAAGGGGTGTGCAGGAGGCAGCCAACCAACGATTCTCTCTCATCATTGATGTTTTTTTTCTCTTCCTCTCTGAAATAAATAAAAAAGTTTTTGTTTTGTTTTTTAAAAAAAGAGACAAGTGAGCATGAATGAGTAGTTTCCTCTCCAGATTAGTTTTTGGTAAAAGATGCACCACCTTTATTGAATGCTAGATGGTGCCAGCGAGTCAATCTTTCTGGGGTAAATCTCAATGTAGCGCCAGGTTAAGGCTTTTAAAGTTTCTCTGGAATTTATTCAGAATAGCTTTACCTCCCTAAAATACGTTGTGCCTTTATACACTTCATCCAGTTATTGAGTATCGAGTTCAAGCGGAATCTATTGCTTTCAGAACTTTCACAGTTGGAGCGGAAGACACAGAAAACACGCTAGAATGAACTCATATAATTCAAGGAAGAAAAAAGTGGTAAATAGAGAATAAGATGTGGAATGCAGCCCTGGCCAGTGTGGCTAAGTGGTTATAGCATAGGCTGCGTGTGGAAGGGTCACAGGTTCGATTCTGGGTCAAGGGCACATACCTGGGTAGCTGGTTCCCTCCATGCCCTGTGGTGGGGGCACCTGTGGGAGGCAACCAGTTGATGTGTCTCTCTCATTGATGTTTCTCTTTCTCTCCCCCTCCCTCCCTTCCACTCTCTGAAAAGCGATGGAAAAAATATCCTCAGGTGAGGATTAACAACAACAACAAAGGCCAACAACCACACACACAAAAAAGACTCATCTTTTCATTATTGATTTGCCAATTATTTATCCAGTACTTTCTGTGTGTGCAGCGTTGTGCTAGATGCTGGTTTATAAAGAGAAAGCAAAATCCCTACTCTCAAATAACTCACAACCTAGTGAGTGGGGGTAACCAAGGAAGGCATTATGGAGGAGGTGGACTTGAGCTAGACCCTTAAGACGGAATGACCTGGGCTTGTCAGGTAGAAAAAAAAAGCAGGCTCCCAAGAGAAGGATGAAAGTTCATAGCATTTTCTGAAATAGCAAGTAGTCCAGCATGGTTAGACTATAGGAAATTAATCCTGAAAAGGCACTTTCAGTTTTATCTCAGGTTTGCCTTGAATTTTACTGGGAAATACAACAGATTTAAAATAAAATTTAAATATGTATTTCCAGGAGAAATTTTACATGAGGCATAGCTATCATAAATTACACTTCTGGCTATACTCATTTACATTTACATGTTATGAATGATTGTAGATTGTTTAGTTTTAAGAGATATGGCAGGTAGTAAGGGTAGATTTTCACTGGTTAAATTCTACCTTGAATATGATGTAAGGAATTTTCTTCACTGAAGTTCACATATCAAATCATCTGATAATGATTATGTGTAGGAAAATGTTAAATGTTTTAATATGTTACCCTAGGATTTAGGTTTCGATGAATGGTTTATACCTAATACTAGGCAATACGTGTTTTCTGAAAGGAATGTAAGTTTAATTTTTACAAATAGAAAAACTTAAATGCTATAAATGTTAGATACATACAATATCAACACCAAAATCAGTAGCTCTTCTCTACATCAGCAATAATCAGGAATTATAATAATGAAAACCCTATTCCCAATATTAACAAAAAATATAAAATATCTAAGAATAGCCAATGTTCAAGGCCTTTGTGAAAAAAATATTTTCTTTTTAAAAATTATAAAAGAAAGCCTAAATAAAATAGATATTGCTTGATAGGAAGATTCAAATTTCAAGGATACAAGTTTTCTCCAGATTAGTGTCTAACTTAAATGTAAGCCCTGTCAAAATGTCAATTGAATTTATTTATTTATTGTTTATCCTCACCCGAGGATATTTTTCCATTGATATTTAGAGAGAGTGGAGGGGGAGAGACAGAAACATCAATGTGAGAGAGACACATCGATTGGTTGCCTCCCATATGGGGATTGAGCCTGCAACCGAGGTATGTGCCCTAGACTGGAATCGAACCTGGGACCCTTCAATCCGAAAGTTTACACTCTATCCACTGAACCAAGCCAGTTAGGGCTCAATTTAATTTCTAAGAAAACTTGACAGACTGATTTTAAATTCATCTAAATTTCTTCTGGAAATACATATCTAAAAGAGGAAATGCACACGAATAACCAAGAGTTATTGGGGGGAAGAAACCCACAGTAATAAAAGCAACTTCTTATCAGTTATCATTATACATCAGCTCTAAAGCTATAAAAATTAAAATAGCAAGGCAATGCCTTCAGACCAGAATATTATCAATGAAACAAACTATTGAGCCACGATTGAGTACATTAAAGGTGGCATAAATGAATACTGACTAGTAAACAGTGTTTGGGCAATTGACTATCCATTTGAAAGAAAATAAAAGACCCCTAACTTCACAGCACTAGCAAAAAATGTAGGTGGCTTAAGGAGCTGAATGTTAAAAATACATATATGAAAGTTTTAGAATAGAAAAAACATATTTTTAAATCTTGAGATAATTAGGGCCTGCTTTCATGGGGCACAGACTAAGAAGACTTAAGGAGAAGATAGATTTGACCATTAAAAGTAATTATTGTGATAAAAACATCATAAGTAGAATTTAAAGTCAGGAGACAAGAGACAATATTTGCAACATAAATACAAAGTCTTCATATCCATCTTATATAAGTCAGTAAGGGAAATGCAATCCAGTAGAAATGGGCACATTTTCAAAGAAGAAATTCATATCAAAAGTTGTTCATGCCCACACAATATTAGGTAAATACACATACGACCAGCAAGATAATACTAGGAGTGTTCTTTTTTAAATATATATATATTTTTATTGATTTCAGAAAGTAAGGGAGAGGGGGAAAGACTGAAATACTAATGATGACAGAGAATCATTGACTGGCTGCCTCCCGCACACCCCTACTAGGGACCAAACCTGCAATCTGGGCATGTGCCCTTGACCGGAATCAAACCTGGGACCCCTCAGTCCGCAGTCCAATGCTCCATCCACTGAGCCAAACCAGCTACGGCCTAGGAGTGTTCTAAGTCCTGGAACATACTAAGAATGAAAAAGAATATTATAATGAATCTGTATTCACACCTGATCTATTTCTTTATAAATCTGTATTTTCATCTATCAAATCTGTTTAAGGTGAGATAGACCCACCAGTGAAGACTTCTAAGTAATTCATCAAGTCAGTTAAGAAGATTGCCAGGTCCTGGCCAGTGTGGCTCAGTTGGTTGAGCACCATCGCATGCATCAAAGGGTTGCCAGTTCAATTCCCTGTCAAGGATCAGGGCACACGCTCTGGTTGCTGGCTCCATCCCTGGTAGGGAGCATGCAGGAGGCCACTGATAGATGTTACACTTTTGCATTGATGTTTCTGTCTCTCCCTCTCTTCCTCTCTCTCAAAAAATTAATTTTAAGAAATATTTAAAATGAAAACACTTAGAAACTGCCAAGCATTTTTGTGGGGTGAGTTTAAACTTTTATATATAAATTGAGGTTTTCTTTGCACAACTATCTTTCCCACACCTATAGCTAAGAAAGAGTATAGCCTATTTAAAATTTTCCTAGTATGTTGAATCATTTTAGATAGCCAACTATATACTGTATGTGGGTTTATTGTTCTGTTTAGAGATTAAAATGGCTTCCAGAGGAAAGACAGAGACAAGCAAATTAAAGCAGAATTTAGAAGAACAGTTGGACAGACTAATGCAGCAATTACAAGATCTGGAGGAATGCAGGTAATAGTATAATTGTACGCTGTTACGCTGTAAAAATGGCTTTTTCCTGCAGCGTGATTACAAACTCCATGAGCTCAGGCCCACGTGTGATTTGTACTCCTCCTGTCGTGTTCTTCACAGTGCTTTGTCTGGTGGAGAAAGTAAGTCAGTGTAGGCTTTGAGGTCATAAAGGCTGGGATGTGAAAGTCTTTCATTTAATTACAAAGCAAGCATGAACGTGGGCAAAATACTTGTTTCCATTTCCATATATGTGAAGTGGAAATAATAACACCTACCTTGTCTTCAGTATTTAAAATAACCCTGATAGGGTGCTGAAGGCGGGGGGTGGGGGAGGACAT